CGGCCCCGGATTGGGCGCCAGGGCGGTGGAGCCGAGAGGGGCGGCTCGGCCCCGCCAGATGCCGCCTGCAAAGTTAGAGAGAAGAAAACTTCAGCTCCAGGGAGATTCGGCCCGCTATGCTAACCGCGCCCCCCGAAGCCCGCGCCCCTGAAAGAAGCCCCGCGCCCGAGTCTGCCGCCGCGCTCGCTTCCCGCCCGGCGCCGGGGGCCCGACGCCTGGAACGGCGGTGACTGCGTCCGCCCGGAGAACCCAACCAGGGGGCGGGGAGGGGGCGGGGGGCGGGCAACGTGGCCACGGGAGGAAGTTTCCTGAAGTTGCCGGTTTATTCCAGAGCCCGGCCCGCGACCCAGCGGGATCGCGGAGGCCGCCCCGCCAGGGAGAAGTCGGAGTTGGGGTGCTAGGGGAGGGAGGAGCCCCGAATCCGAGAGCGGGCTTTTCCTCTTTCTCTTTGCTCGCCCCTCGCCTTCGGGCACGCCGCCGGGATCGGACTTGGACAGCTGACGAGAAGGAAGGGTTGGGGTCGCTAGCGTTGCCCCTCCCGGGCATATACCGGCCCGGGCCGGAGCCGCGTGGACAGTCTCCTGGGACGAAGCCGCGGGGTCCCAGGACCACCCCTCCGGATTATAAAACAGTGCGGAGGACACCCCCCCCCCAAGGCTGGTCACCATGTGGGGGCTGCTGATGTGGACTCTGCTGGCCCTGCACCGGATCCGTGCGACCGGAGCCCAAGGTACGGAGGGCCACCCCCACCTGGGGTTGGGGAGGGGGCTGGAGGAGGGGGGGCTCGCTGGCCTCACGGTGGCCTCGTGGACACCGGGCTTAGCCTGGGCAGAGTCCTCTCCAGGGAGTTTCAAGACCCTCTCCTCGAGTTTGGGGGGGGCTCTCTTTCGGGGGGTGGGGCCGTCTTTCTGAGACTTGTGGCTTCCTGAGGAGGGAAGGCGGGGGTCCATGTTGGGAGGCGTCGTCCGGGGTGAGGTGAGGGGTAGCGACCCCCACCCGCCGTTCGGTGCCCGCCTACCCGAGCTCCTCAGGCCGGGCTCCGGGTCCCCGCCCGGGGTCCGCGGGAAGGGCCAGGCCCTGCCGGGCAGGCGCTGGCCGCCCCGGGCCGAGGGAGGGCGGCGGGAGGGCGGCGGGCAGGAGCCCGAGTCGGGCGCAGGGAGCCGGGTTGGTCGCCCCGGGAGGGCAGTTGCCGGGCCTGGCCACGTACGGGAGCCCGCGCCTGGTCGTCTGGCCGCCGCCGGGGCTGGGGGTGCTCGGCGGAGGGGGGCCTCGAGCCCAGGTCGCGCGTACAACCCCGGACCCGGCGCGGGTGGTGCGCAGGGAGGGTCTGAGGCGTCGCCCCTCCCGCCCCCAGACGCACGCAGCATCCTGCCTTTGCGCCCCCTCCCCACCGGCCGCTCCTGTCTCTGACCTGTAGCTGCCTGGAGCAGCCTCGCGGTGGAGAAGGGCTGCTTTGGGGGGTGGGAGCGTTAGGAGGGATGAGGAGGCGTGATCCGCGCTGCCCCCCTCCAGAGGGCGGATGCCTAGACATCCCCCCCCTCCCAGTCCTCGGGCAGGTCCCAGCGGGGAAGGGCGGCTGCACCCGGCGCTTCCTTGCCTTTGGGGTTCGCAGATCCAGACAGTGGTGCGAGCGGTGTCCGAGCGGCGCCTGCTGGGGCGGAGGGAGACGAAGCCTGGATCGAGCTTCAGGACTCAAGGGGCTTGGCCTCCCCCTTCCAGGCTCGGGAGCATGCCTGGACCCACGGGGAGGAGGGGGTGCTCCGGAATGCGGAGGCTGCATCTCGAACCCGCCCCACCCCAGCTTGGGTCTCGGAGCAGCGGGGGTGAAGGGACCCCACTGCGCCCAGCGTCAGGCAGTCCAGAGAGCCAAGATCAAAGGGATGAGAATAATCCAGCTCTCACTCACAGGGTTGAGGGGGGGATTTTACAAGGCAATTTACGTTAAAGCACTTAGAAATTTTGTAAGGGGTCTTGTAAACGTAAGGTAATAAAAGTTATTATTAGTTTTATGATCATCATAAAATCTTCCAGCAGGCGTGAACCTTAGAGGTCGGCTTACTCTAGCAACCATTTAACAGATAGGAAAACTGAGGTCCAGAGGCATTAAATGACTTGCCCAAGGCCGTTGGGTGATCTGGTGGCAGAGTCAGGGACCAGGTGAGTTCTGGGCCCTTGTCTCCCTTGGAACCAGGACCATCCGCAGCTGGAGTGGGTTTACTAGGGGTGGGCCCTTCTTCTGAGGGTCCTGAGAGGACCTTGAGGCTGACAGAATAGGCACGGGGTGTAGCCTGCCCTGGGGCACCTCACAGATTTGCTCTGAGGTGCCTGTGGGGCTACTAGCTGAAAGCCAGGAGACAAGGAGGGCTCTGGGGCTATCAGCCCGTGTCTGGAGGCATCTGACTTAATTACTCTTTGGACTCTGGTGTGATTTCCCTGGGGGCAGGTGGCTCACTAGTTCTTGCCCATGCAGGCCCAGGCCCAGAAGGAGTCCCCGGGGCATGGGAAGGTCCTTCTTTCTGGGTCATCAAGCCTCTTCCATGTCCCAGCCAACATTGTCCCATCCACCTGAGGCCAAGACCGACCAGTCCAGCTGAAGTTAAGGTCTGGCCACCTCCTGTCTCTGTCCTCTTGCTGGAGGGGCTCACCCTGTCGTCATCGCTGAAGGTCTCTGATTGATTCCCTCCCTCTCTGGTTCTCATGTTTGCTGCCTTTCGGAGTGAGGCTGCCCAGGTCCCCTGCTGCTCAGTTTGTGTTCTCTGGCTCTGAGAGTGTTTTCCAGCGGCCATGGGTACTCTCCGTTTGTCTCCTGGCGGCAAACCATGCAGGGGATGGTGGGAACTTGGTCTCGCCCGGACATGGGGGCAGGGACAGGCCACAGGGGGCTCGGGGGGTCCTTTCCTATCTGCTTTGGGGTTAGAGGGTGGAGTTTCTCCTTAGCGTCTGAGTTTGAGGCCACGCTCTTCACCCTTGGGGGTAGTTGAAGCCCCTGGGACTGTTTGTCCCTTCTGAGCCCATGAGCCCCGTTCTCCAGTCAGGACACAGAGTGAGGGAACAGGCGGCGTTCCTCCCTGGCACAGACCTCACCTTGGCCACCGCTGGATTTTGTCTGGGCTTTGGCGAGTGTTTTCAGCTCCCGGACCCGGGCAACATCACCTGCTTATACTGAAAACCACCGTTGGACCATTTCCCCCGAAATTCACACGCATTTCCTAAACTAAGTGCAGTGATGTTGTAGAAAAGGGCGATTCCAGGTATTTGGGGGAGCCCTCAGCAAGTGCCTGGCACTTAGAAAGTGCTTAATAAAGGGTAAATGTTTTTACGATGACGGTGATGATTGTTTTTACACCATAAGCCAGAGGACCGTGAGGAATAGCCCTGGCCACCCACCAAAAAGGCCTTGTATGCCTTTTCCTCATCCAAGACGCTTCCTTTACTTCCTACTTCTTCCGAGGCTACATTGCTCTGTCTGCCATGGCCCTCCCGGGGTGTTGGGCTCCACTCCCAGGTACTCCGCCTGGAAATGTCTGGGTGAGCCTGGTTGTCTGCAGTTTAGCCAGCTTCTCGAAAGATTTTTCAGGTGCCACGAAAATTAATTGCTGGTGGACATCCCAAGGAGGCCCAGGGGCTGGAAGGAGGGCAGTAGCAGCCCAGCCAGCTGGTCCAGAAGGTTCTTTCGAGAGAACGGTGCCTGGGGGGAGGGACAGAAGGGAGTGTGAGCGGAGTAGAACAGGCAGTGTTGAGAAGCCCAGCTTTGGACGCTCCTGAAGGCTCCAAAGGGAGAAAGTTTAGTGCTGGGAGCTAATCACAATAAAAGCCAAACAGCACGCGAGGGAGCGGGATGAAAGTTTAATTACATGGTGTGGCTAAGCTGTAATTATTAATTACTGACAGCAAAAAATAACTTATTGATCAGGGCCTCTTGCTAATTACCACAAGGCCGAGTGTCGTTCTTGCCTGGGGCTTAGCGGGTACGTGTCAAAGCCCCACACAAGAGGGGGCCAGGGGGCATCCCTGCTCCCTTTCTGGCTCTTCGCCCTGCACCCCTCTCTCCCTCACCCTGTGCACCCCTTAGCTTCACCTGGGGAGTCTGGAACATTCTGGCTGTGGCCAGATGGGTGACACAGTTTGCTGTTTCTCCTGTCTATGGGATATGGCCCCTGCATGGGAAGAGAAAACTCAGGACCCCTACCCAGAGGCCCAATCACGCTGGCAGCCTGACACCTGCCTCAGAAACCCTCCCTCTCATGCATTTGTTCGGCAAATAGTTATCGACCGCTCTCTCCCTTGTGTCCTCTACTGGAAGGCCAGAGTAGGGGCCAGGAACCTTGTTCCATCAGGGAAGGGCGGCTGGGAAAGAGGCCAAATCCTTTACAGCAGTTCTCTGTTTAAACAGTGCCTGAACGGCCGAATTTAAAATGATGTGTTAAACTGCATATTGGTATGCATTTGACTTTGTACCATAGGATGCAGTCGGGCTGTAAGTTAAACAGTAAGGGAATGAACTTGTTTTCTGTCCTGAAGACTAGAATGAATCAGTGCCTCGGACTTGAAAGAAACACGAAAAGTCATCTAGTGTTGTCCTCTGCCCATAAACCTGGGACAAGTGGCCATCTGGTGTCTGCTTGTATACCCTTGGTGATGGAGGACTCACTACCTTACAAAACAAGCTGGTTGTTAGTCTCCCGGTGGCTGATTATCCTGAGATTTGGCTGCGGTTCAAGAAGCCCTCTGATTGGCTGGACCACCTCCTCCCCAATCCTTCTGCCTCCCTACCCCTCGGGGAGTCAGGAGCCTGAGCTGGAATTGATGTTGGCTGTTATGGTGCTGCCTGTGGGATTTCCACCCCGGCTCCCCTTGGAGCACACTGCCACAGAGGGCCCTGGAGCTGCCTGAAACGGTGGGAATTAGTCATCATAATTCGGGGCCTTGGGATGCCAATAGCAACAAATGGGCCAGAGCGACTGCCGGCGGCAGCCCCGCTGCCTATAATGGAAAAGAAAACAAGCCGGTTGCTGAGGCATCTCGGTTGCTCCTCGTGGCCGCCCCCTCTGCTGTCCGCACGCTGGGCAGAAGGCAGGGCCAGTGTCCAGCAAGGGGCCGTCCAGGGCTGCTCTAGGTCCTTGGGGGGAGAGGGGCCCTGCATAGCTGGTCTCATCAGACTCCCCAGCTGGGTGTCTGGTCCAGAAAGCCCCACTTTGAGCCCTGGGAGCCCTGCGGGGGCCCCTCTCCTGCAGGTATTGGCAGGGACCTGGTTGGGGGGGGGTGCTCCTGGCCCCTGCCTCCACCACCGAGTGACCCTGAGCTGAGACTCTTCTCATCTGTGGAATGTGGAGATGGTTAAAAATCACTATATCTACCTAGTAGGGTGGTTTTTTTTTTGGATGTTAAATGAGATGATCCTAAATCACTTTAAACTCCTCTCAATAACTGTTAAGTGCTTATAATGCATTGGCCACGAGACTGGGAGGATGTCCTAACCCACACCTCGTGGCTCTCCCCTCCTCCAACAACTCCACCCACTCTGTCCACTGCTCTGACCACCTCCTTGTTCCCAGAACTGCCCAGTCGCTCTCTGGCCTCCCACCTGGCACCTGCCATCCCTGTGGCCACGCCCAGTCCTCCCAGATGTCTGCAAGGCCCACTTCTTGTTTCCTTCAGGATTTTCTCCTAATGTCCCTAATCCATCCCTAAGCCTGTGAAAACATGGCATCTCCAGTCACGAAACACCCC